GGGTGTCAAGCTCAGGTGGTTCCTCTAAAACATGTGGAGCCACCAGCTGCTTGCTTGCCTGCCACAGTGGCTTCATCAGGAGGGTGTAACAAACATGAAAGTTCAAACTGTCCCCTGCAGATTCCACCTGTGCAGTATCCATGACACAATCCCTCATTGGCTTCCCACACTGAAGACAGTGTTTAATGGAGTGATCAGCTAAGCTGCTAGCATCTCTGCCAGGGAAGAAACACAGCTCTTTGTAATTCTAAAGCCTGGAATGTATCCTTTGTAGGTTTAACAAAGCAGTGCAAAGGAGGCCAAAGTGGTTTTGTACATGCAGTCTGGCATGGATTACTGACCATTCTTCAGCTCATCATCACAGAATCCTTCTGTAAAAAGGGTGCAGAGAATGTGGATGTTAACACAGAGACGTGCAGCTGGGTAACCACAGAACCACATACTGTACTGATTATCCCTTCCTAAAGTAAAAATCACTTCTTTACTGAAAGCCTCCCTGATTGTCTGTCTGTTAAAAACATATCTTCAGCTGAACAGACTTGTTATTTTCTCTCAACTCCAAAGTTAATTATATTGAGCCTATTGTCCAGTTGGTGGTTTCTTTTCTCAAAAGAGGAAACTGCTGGTACGCTGTGGTTTTCTATGGAGCACTGGCAGCCTTTTTTAAACCACTGTCATCTTTGTGTGTAGTGCATATGACCACAATGCTTGATCTGATGTGTTATCAGAGCGCCTTCTTCTGCAGCTTTGACTCAAATGTGCCATTATTGCACACACAGTGCAGCCATCACTGAAAGTCAATGTACATGCCATCAGTTCAGAAACTACTATACGTTCAAGGATAGAGCAGCAAATATGTGCTCGATCCCATTCAGACGTGCAAACAGTTAAAGGACATCTACTGTTCTATGTGTACACGCAGCATCATGTTAATAATCTTGTTGCAGTGCTGCCCTCTGCTGGACAAGAATCAGTAAAACAAAAACTTTGCCAGACGTTCATAATGGAGAAAACAGCACATGATCCAGCCTCCAGCTCGCTTGATTTATGATACACACACATAGTTGCTCACAATGCAGTGACATACCAATGTAATTCAATAGCACATTAATTAAAACTCCATCCCTGTGGTGTGTGTGTGTGTGTGTGTGTGTATGTGTGAGAGAGAGAGAGAGAGAGCAGGAGAGAAAAAGCTAGGTCAGAAGGAGGGGTAGGGTTTAATGGCTTATCAGGACCCTGGCTAGCCTGTATGTGTGTGTGTGTGTGTGTGTGTGTGTGTGTGTGTGGCCAGTGGTTACCAAGCCATTGGCCTCATTTTTTGCTGAAGACCAGGAGTCAAGGTTTATAGACGCGCACTTCCCTTATCATGTTGACTGGATTTTTGTCTCTCTTTCGTAATAATTCTTTTTCATAATCAACCTCTGACTTGGTGTGTGTCCAGCAGGCTCAAATCACTTTTACTCTTCAGTCTTTGTTTTTAATCACTAAGTCTGTCAAAGCTCTTCAAAGTGCTAACAGGAGGTCTGCGCCTATTAGAGCCTAATATGATCATAACACACACACACACACACACACACATATGCTCACTATCTCTCAGTTCTGACAGCTCTCAGAGGCTCTCCCCTTCTGTTTCTACTGATCTCACACATAAAATTTCTCCCTCTCCCTGTCATGCGCTTGCCAAACTCCATGCACAAGAAGAGGTTCAGTGAGTGTTGCTTTAGGAACGTGACTTCCTCACAAGGCAATGAAACTCCGGCCTGGACGTTTCTCTTTTGCCTTCGTGTTCAGGTATTCAAGCACCCCAGGATACGCTTATGTCTACACATTAGGTTCCTCGTTGATTCTCCACAGCGACTTGAGTTAACTGCTTCAGCATGCACACCAGTAGGTTTTTGTCTTTTAAGGAAGAACAGTTGTAGTTTTTTTTTCCAGAACCATATTAGTACCTAAAGGAACTCTGAGGTTTGTTTTTTATATTCCTCTCCACATGTTCATTGCTTGCTCATTTGCTTACTTCACCCCAGCCTGGTAGCTTGATGGCTTTGGTTTGTAGTCTCCAGTTTTGAATGAGGAAAGCCTAATGAACACGCTGTATGTTAGCGTAGCTGAAGGTTCTTGTTGTAAATGTAACAGTGTGAACATCACTTTAATGATACTACATGATTTAACCCCCACCCCCTCCAAAGTCACCACTAGTGAACTATGATTTCAGTCCATCAGCTACAGTACTGAGCTCTTAAAATTCTGCACCGTGGACCTGGCACTCAGATTCAGATGAACAGCTTTAGAAAAGCTTGACAACAAAAAAAAAAAAAACTGGTCCCACTGAATCTATTTCTAGAGCTTTGTGCACTGAGCACATCTTTGAACTAACAGATGGGCTCACCACAGTAGCTTAGATTGCCCCGTGAAACTGTTTAAGGGGGTGTTTTTGTCAGTGGCTGTGTTTCTCTGTCAAACCGCTGCAAAGGCCACCAGGAGTTGAGTTATTTGAGTATGGAATGTTTTTAAATTCAGCCTGGAAAACCGCAGCCTCTTTTCTCTTGTCCATTCAGTATGTGTTGAAAATCCAGAGAGAGAGAGAGAGAGAGAGAGAGAGAGAGAGAGAGAAAGTGGTGGGTAGAATCTCTGCCAGTGGAACAACATGTACCTCTGTGGAGCATTCATGTCTGCAGCTTTTGAACAGTCTGTAAATTAAAGGAAACAGACTGACTGGTTTCCCTTTCAGAAAACAAAGCAAAACAAGTCACCCAGCCAAAGCAGTTGTGGTGAGCCTCGGCCAGCCTGAGTTATGGTTGGCTTGCACACAGAAGCGTGAATGAATTTGCTTCTGGAGAAAACAGTATTTCAGTTCAGCATCTCCTGTCTTGTGCTGACTTCTGTTTCCCTGCAGCTCGTACCCCGAGTTCGTTGGCTGGGTCTAAGCATCTTCCTTTTTACTGCAGCGTTTCTCCTTGCTGGACTGTTTCTCAGCTGCTGTCTCACTTTCGTTCTCGCTCATCCTGCTCAGCTTGGCCCCATGTGCCTAATTGGCAAGGCTCTACTGACAAACCTCTAATTTGCTTTTTAAGAACATTTGATATGGAGCTGCAGGCGGGGAGCCAGGGACGAGTTGGCCTCCAGTGAAGACGGCATCATTGACCTTATATGACCCCACAGTTCAGGTTTTATATGCGGACAGTTTTTTTTTCCACTCCTCACTTCATATTCCTCATGTCTTACAACCTCATCTCCCCCTCTCTATTCATTTCCATGTCTCTGCTTTGTTCTAATCTGTTCCCGTTCAAGGATTTATCTCTCTATCCTTATTTTCTTTTTCCTTGTCAAGCCTTTATGTTTCTTCCCTTCCTCTTTGTGTCTTATTCCCTTCCTATTGTCTCCATCCCCAGCAGGCTGTGATGCTTTAAGGCATTTGTTCCCATTCACCTGTAGATTTCATCTTCTTTTTTACTTAGTATTCTGTCAAACTATTGTACCTTGTCCACTGTGTAGGGGTCACAGGACAGAATCAGTCTGAATGACAAGATTTACAACATAATGAAAAGTCTTTGTTAGACCACTGAAGGAAAACCATCTTACCAACAGGTACAGCAGTATAGAAATTACATACTGGCACTTGTGGAACAATGTAATAATAGAATGTGCACAACAATATGTTTCCGACTGAGAGAAGTAGAGTTCTACCCCCCCCACCTCGACATACAAATCATTTGTATGCTTTTAAAATCAGCTTTTGTTATAGTAAAGGGTTAAGAACCCTTGTTCAAATGGATCGAACTGAGGTCCTCCTGGCTCTGCTGCAGCCCCGTCAGTGAGGCCAGTTTAAAGATACGTTCAGTGGATGGAGTCCAAAACGGGGCCTTTGAATTCTCTTTGATGTTTTCAGTGTTGCAGAAGCCAAATTTTCAAGCAGCTGACTGATGTGGTCCATAAACAACTCTTTGCTTGCCTTGTCTTTGTGTTTAGATTCATTGTCCTGTTTCTATGTGTCATCCTGAAACTCAGGGCCTTTATATAACATTGGCCATGAGTCAGGAACTGTTTATCCACCATGGATGTAGACACCTTGTAATACCCTTAAACCCCTCTAATATCACCCTTACTCATAGTTATTGTTTTATTTCAAAGTGTGATGGAGTCCAAAACAAGGAAAACAGACAGCTCCTCAGCACTGGGAGGGCATACAGCACATTAGAGAGTTCACACTAAACCACATACTGTTTATCATCAGTCAATCACCCTGGCTAGCAGCACGGCGGTCCCTCCTTCATTAGCACATACAGATCTTTGATGGATACTGTGTGGTCAGCCAAACACTCTGCTGTTAAACTTACATGGGACCTCTTGTTTTTCTCCTCTTCAGGTTTTTACCATCACAGACATCACAACAGAGCCAAAGGTGAGTCATTTACACTTTACCTTTCTCTTTTTGTGGCTTTGTGTTTGGAAGTATGCTTTAGTACCATCACAGGTGTAAATACAGACGATGGCCACTAGAGGGCGGCAGAGTTGTTCTTTTATAGTTGGCCGTGGTTCTCTTGTTGAGACAGAGTACAAGCACAAGACATAGGAATATTTAAATACAATAAGAGGGTTAAAATGTAATTAAACAAATGTGAGGGTGTTTGTGAGTGTGGTTACTCTGCAAAAGTGCATAACTGAAGAAGGATCTTCACCACAGTCAAATAGTACAGTTGCATCTTCACCTGTGATGGCATGAAAAGCAGACAGAGGGAGTCACAGGAGCTTGTTGGAGGTGTCACTTGCTTTACAGCGATTAGATAAGTAGTCTTTGATTGTACTCCCTGTGTTAATTCACACCGATCTGCAAGCAGGAGTCCCTCTCCTCTGCTAGTCCCCTCCTTCTTTTTCTCATGCTACTGTGTCGCCTCCCCTCTCTGCCTACCGATAGGGCAGACATTGAGTCAACAGAGGAGAGAGACAGTGAGAGGAGGGGGATAGGGAGAAGAGAGTTTGGATATGAGGGAAGGACCAAAGTAGAGACAAGGAAACGCTGCAGGTGTGTGGAGTTGGCCATAGTGAATTTCATTAGCTCGGCAGCACAAATGGAGAAGAGTGAGAGCAAGGGCTGTGAGAGGTGAAGGACAGGCAGACCACGTGCACGTGTTCACAGTGAGATCCCAGCAGTTAGTTTAGAGCCATTAGAGAGCTGTTTAGTTGATTTTATTAACGGCATAAGCGCTCAGCAAGCCATGGCCCTTCTCACCAATGGCGCACAGAGTCTGGGCTCCTATTACTGCCTCATCCGACGCAGGTTCAAGAGGAGGCGCAAGAAACGCTCTGAACGCAAAGGTAACACTTACAGCAGCAGTTCATACACAGGGTGATGCTGAGCTGGCTTTTTGGAGACTTTGTAGTGTTCAGGTAGTGACAAGGGAGCAGAACTGTGCCCTGGCTTTAAATCTGTCAGGTTTGAAGTTGTAACCACATCAGCAAGCTGATCTGAAGTCTGTACAAACACAGATGCAGAGCTTTTAATTTTTCATGGTTTGATTTTAATGGTCAGTGATTGCATCTGTTTTCCGTTAGCTTCTGTACATCATACAGCGCTTTGGCAATTTATATGTGGACAACTTTCAGTGATTTCAACTTGTCTGTATTTGACAAGACATTAGCTTCCTCTGCTTGCACTTCATAAACTTGTCTTTACAAAATATTATTAACATTTTGTTACACACGACATTGACTCAGAGGATTTCACACTTGAGCCAAGTCATCGCTGATCAAAAAGCCAAAACTGTGCAGTTGCAATGTGATTTTTAAAAGTTTATTATTCTGTTAGTGCTTGTTTTGTCATATACATGTCTTTATATATTTATATTCTGTATTTTGAAATGTACCACAGCTTTAAAATAATCCACCTCGGTGTGATGCATTTCATTATTTACGCCTATGTTACGTTATGCAGCAATCAATAAGTTACTGTCTATAGAAATCGCATGTTTAGTGATTTACAGTGAGACCATAAGAACAAATATGTAGGGTCGTCATAGAGACGGGTTCTTTTCTCCTTTGTTTACCAATAAATAAATAAACACATCATAAAATCACCTGAAAACATTTTTAAATAAAATGTTTTAAACACATTTCCTTTATTAAAAGGGGCATTAAAGGTAAGCAGGAGACATGGGGAGACAAAGATTGAGATTACATGCAACAAAGGTCAGAATCACACGAGGACATTGTTTGTTACCGTTTACATGTGTAACTTCATCAGGAAACCAAAGTAGTTCTGAAAACCCAGTGAAGCTGTAGACATACCCGGTCTGTTTAGAATAAAAACACATTTTCAGAGTCTGAATGATTTTCTTGAGTAGAAACTCATAATGAGACGGTCTCTTCTTTGCCCCCTCTCTCTCATCAGTTCCCTCCCTGTGTCTCGTTGAGTGAGACAGGTCCATGTCTCTGTGTAATTGAAGTGGAGTGATGGGAGCCCCACAGAGGCTCTAGGCTTTTGCTGCTCTGCTCTAGGGATTAGTCTAACAGCAAAGGTAGTAATTACTTAGGTGGCCACAGTTCACTGGCAGTATTAGCCATGTCTCAGCCACTTGCTTTGACACCCACCAGCCTCCAAACTCCCCCGCTCCCCCTGTCGAGCTGAGTCCATTCAACCAAGTAAATCCACCTCTGCTGATGCTGCACTTTTAGCCCCCGATTCCCGCCCTGCTCGGTCCGAGAGTCACTCTGTCCATCAGCATTACACAGGTCTGTTTCCCGCCTTTTCACTCTCTCTTATCGGCATGGGAATGAACTTTTTCACCGTACTGAGAGAAACGACGACCAAGCATGACTTTGGGCCAATGTTGCTGCGCTTGCTCCCTCAGTCAGCTTTCATGCCCCCACTGGGAGCCTCCTGATAAGTTGCTTAGAGTGCCTAGTGGGTTAGCAGCTAATGCTATCTGAGATGATGAGCTGGCATACTTACTAAAGACAATCGTCAGTAGAACAATGTGACACAGACTCGAGCAAGTCTCTGTGCTCGGTTCCCCTGATAGGGAGGGCAGAGACGACGCTGCAGCACTGGGCTGAGCAGTCCATAAACAGCAGGTTATTGTCTTCCACAAGGACACTTTAACTCAATACAGGACTGACCAAGGTCACCTGTTTGAAGAGCAGTGTCACTAAACACTAATACACGCTGCAGGGCCTCAACACAATTTATATCTATTTAAACTTTGGAGCTCAGTTTATAGCTCCTAGTCTCGTTCCAATGAGAAAGCGCAATTGTCAAATCAGCTTTTTTTGGAGAATGAGTTTTTCAAAAGAGGTTTTGTGTGTCTGCTGTTGAATGAGACTTTGACCTAAAGCTGTGTGTGCATTATGCCAGCGATCTGACTAACCAGTACTCTGTGGCTACCGAGCTCACTTAGACAGCTCATCTACAAACATGTCTGTGTTTAAAGGTGTAGGTATAATTTAACTTACAACTAATATACAAACGTATTTCACCCTGCTGGGCGTGTTTCACAGCACACATTTAAAATGTCTGTCAAAATGTCACGTTTCACTTGTCGCTGAGGGAAAAGCACAGGTGTTACTGATCACACTGGCAGTGGCTCTGCTCTGTTCAGGTCTCCTGGAGAAATGGCATTAAGCGCGTTTCTTTGTGAGTGTAGCCCAGATTTTAATCGAACCTCATGAAAGTCAGCCAAAACAAAATGCTAATGAAAGCACATATCCATCCACTACTGTTAGGCAAATTGTTGGTTCGTTGACTTAAGTAGGTGTGGGGGGGGGCTAATTTTCCAGTCGTGTGCTGGCAAACCAGTGCAGAAGGTGCGATGATGTAAATAAAGGATCACCAGTCGAACAGCGTGTGAAATACAGCATCTTTGTTAGTTTCCTGTATTCAGTTGAGAAGTGTTAGGCTCTCACCTCACCACACAGATCTGCTCTGGCCCTGTTTTTTATCTCTTTAGTGGATGTTTTAATTACATGTGTCAAACGTAATTCACCAAATCAGTCTCTATTACATTTAGCAACTTTTCCACCTCACATAAGCCTAAAATCTGTTTGTGATGTTTCGAGGTTTTTTCTAATTTTGGTGTTTCCCCTAAGGTTTTTTTTTTAATGCTCAAATGTAAAATACCTATAAAAAAAACATAGTGGATAGAAAGTCATCTGTTGTGGCAGTGAGCCAGTGCTGGTGTTTGATGGGAACTGTGTGATGTTACCAGATCGGAAAGTCAGCGTTAAAGTTATCGGTAACACCTGTGCTTTTCCTTCATCTGTGTAAGACATATTTATGCTGTTTGCTCATTACATGTCATGCTAACGTCACATGATGCTACTGAATACCGCCTCTCCTAACATGTTTTATATCGCTTTTCAGTTAATATTTGAATTTAATATGTTGTTTAATGTGTTTAATTCTGTGTAAATGAAATTTATGATCTGTTTGAGTATAAAGTGTGACTCTGTGACTCTACATGTCGCAGGGCTGTTGTTTGTTGATGGTATTACCAGGTACCATGCTGGTGATCATAGTTTACCTTTAAGGGAATTATCATACAGTGCATAGCAACTTTTGAAATGCTGACATTAAGCGTATCTTCCAAGTGATAAGTTCTTCAATGCATTTCTCATAAATGTGCCAAGCCATGACACTCGCAGACGATGCTTTCCAATGGGCCGTATATGAAATATGGAAAATGGGGAACAGAGGCCTTTTCTGCCATGCCAGCAAAATCTCTAAAATGAGCTTTTGCAACTTGAATGGGGAGGGTGGGGGCACAGAGGAGGATCTGCACTGCCTGGCTTAAAATCCATCATTGTTGAAGAGACTTTGCTTATAACAAGAAACATTTTTTTCTGCTTAGATAACCTTGCATCCTCCTCCCCTCATGTACCCTTCCTCCCTCTCTTCCTTTCCTCCAACCCTCCTTTTCTTTCCCTTATTTACTCCTTTGATTATTCATACACTGTCTTAAAGCAATTTAGAAATGATCATGTCTAACATAATACCAAAAATACAGTTTCTTAATGCCGTTTTCCCTCCCTTTTGAATAATCCTAACGCCTGCATGTCGACACAGCAAATAGATTTTCAGCCTCTGAACAAGCTCCGACAAACCGATTAACATTTGACAGCAATAACAGTGGAAATGAAATAGAAAACATGGTCACATTCATTTACCTAACGACAATAAAACAGTTGATTATGAGCTGTGCCTCATTTATTTAGTGGTCCAACATTTTCAGGCACCACAAACACAGAAGCATTCTGTCATAGTAGCAAATGAGTTGCATCTGCCAGTCTCAGTGCAATTAGCCTTAATTAGCATACTCAATGTGAAACTTTAGATTTTTGCCACAGAACGAGCTCAGTCACAGTTCATATTGCTTTTTTTATCATACAGTGCAGCACTCGGAGTACACAGCCATCCTCCCCTATCTTTTTCTTCCCACCTCTGACATTAGTCCTCTCTCCCTCCGCTGTCAGCTGTCATGACCTTTTTCATCTTTTCGAAGGTTTCCCAACCTGTCGTCTCCGTGCTTTCCATCATTGCTACCCCTCTGTCTGGCAATAGCAAAGGCACAAGGTGTGAAATTCAACTCCCAGATGACAGTGTCACAGGCGCCGGCACACACACACACTACATGGATGCATTCACGTCCCCTCACCGCATTTATTTTAGGCCACATTCAAGCATACGCACATATCCCCCTCCTTGGGGAGCAGGATCCCTGTGTGTCTAACCTGGCCTTGAATGTGACAAACGGTGTTAGCTGCGAGCACCCTGGGCACCCAGGCAAGGAGAACAGGAGGACAGAGAAGAGGATTGTGTGGGGGTTGGATGGACAAAGGGAAAGAACTGGTAAATAGCTGCTAAGAAAAAAGATGCAATGCATATACTGTACATCCAAGGGTTCCCGAGGCTCTTTAAGATGTTCTTAAAGTCCTCTAAGACATCAGCTGCATTAGATGGTGGTTCTTACCTGTAATGGAAGCAACATTGTTTAACCCTTTGGAAACTTGCTGACAAACTATGAAGAAAGGGCAGTGTCGTAAAGCTTCACCCTGATGTGAGATGGAATGTCTTTCAGGCTGCTTTAGCTCAGGTTTAGGTCGACTGTGTAATTGTTACTACACTCTGTCTATTAAGTCGAGATCTGCTGATGTGAATGTGAGCGTGCATGCAGTGCACTGGGTGCGTACGTGGATATATCACGTGCAGGTTTTGATGACTCCCTTATACCTGTGTCCTCTGTTGGGCGCTTGAACATTGAGCACAACAATGGTGGTCCTCTGTGAGCCGGACATGCTCCCATACACTCCCCCCCCCCAACACA